CGCTCCCCACGTGCATCAATTAGCCCTGGCCGCCCAACAGACGAGCTGCTGGAGCTCACATTGCTGAAAAAGTTAATGCTGGTTCCGATAGAAAGGTGTCAGAACACACAGTGCATGACATTTTGTTTTGTGTATGGGGCTGCTTAACACACACCAGGGTGCCCAGGTGGTCAAAAATGTTATGGCTGATCGATGTAAGTCAAAATGTATAAATGCAGTATACAAATAAGCAGCTACTGCTTGCAATATAGAAATTCCAGTGGTAAACATTTCGATTTGAATATTTTCCCCAATTCATGCCAACCAATGGAGCATGTCTGGTTGAGATATAATGAAGCATATGTGTACTTTTTTTAAGCACCATTCATTTATATGTTTGTTCTGAGTCTCTGTAAGTGAGTTACTTTCTAGATCCATGAGGATCATTCATCTCTTTCATAAAGTTACACTTGCACAGACCATCTATGTCTTCCTCTGTTTGCCACATTATCTTCTCCCTTTGCTCTCTCAGGTTGGTATGACCTTCATCTCCAGCTGCCGCCAGTGCGCTGACCCTTCATGCATCTGTCACCCACCAGTCCTGGCTGGGGATCACATTTAGTACTTCATAATTAATCGCCCAGTGTGCATGCAAAAAATAAAAGAAGAAGAGAGCCAATTCTTGACGGCAACTACCACATTAACATGGACCAGCTGGACGTCATATTAGCTGTAAAGCAGAGGTGATAATTAAAAATGATCTTGGCAGGACTAAATTGGTCAGTTTGAGGATTAACTGGGAAATGACTCATGGATAAAAATATATTGCACCCTCTGGTGCCTTAGTTAGGATTAAATGGCACTCAACATGGAACAACTCTCATAACAGAAAGCGGAAATGCATTACAGGTGGAATAAGTGGCTCTACACAGTTTCCATTATTTCTCAGCTACTGTAAGCGCAAGTCCATTTCAAATCCAAATCTCTCTGAGAAAGACATATCAGCAAGCTGCCAAATCCTTTGCAGGCACCCTCAATTTGCACAGAAGTGAAGCGTCGACTCATCTTAGATATGTCGAAGTCTGGGAGATCTGTGAGTTGTCTTTTCATCATAAAGCAAGGGAGCTGGACTAAACATCGCCCGTCACATTACACTGATTGAAGCAGGCACGACCAACTTCCCTCTGAAGTGTTTAAATGGATAGCATTTTGATAGTAATACGTGCCAGACTCAATTACCAAAGCAAAAAATAAATTAGCTTCCTGGTCTCTTTTCTCCTGCCAATACAAGCCTTGAGAAGAAAGCATCTGATCAAGATTTCCCAGGACAGGAATCAAGGTGACCCCCGCACTCTCATCGTTGCTGATAAGCTCGCAGATACCCGCTTCTGTGGTGTCAGGCTAAAATGCATGGTTGGGTGTGAACTTTTGCCAGTGGCCTGAGTAGGTTAGCTTGTTGACATGCCTCCAGTGAGCAGCTAGCATCACAAGCCTGTGCAATAGTATGTGTCTGTGTCAGCCTGTCAGTTCAGCTGCCATGGGGAAGTGGGTGAAGGTAGGGAGACTGAGGCAGATGTCTGTATTGTGTATCCATCACTGCCGTTCAATCCTCAGATATACAACCTCAAGGCTGCTGACAGCCAACACCACCCAGAAATGCCTTTTGAACAGCAATGAAGATAATGTCTTCCTCTGGGCTAGCTTTTTTCAAATGGCCGCCTACCGCTCTAAACCTCATATCACATCATGTCAACCATCTCCCTCTCTGCTCTATTGTTTTTTGGTTTTTTTTAAACATCAGGATGTCTCAGTTCTGGTGTAGAACATCCTGCCCACAACCTCTCAACAGGGCAATTAAGGCAGCTCCCTCTCCATGTGAATCATTTATCTCTTTCAGGAGCCTGTTTACAATATTCATTATGTTCCTCTTACTCAAGCTCCAAGCACTGGGAGTGAAGGGAAAAGTTACAGTGGTTAAAAGGTAGGTGTAGGGGCAGAAGAAAAGCAATGTGGGCAGCAGCGGGAAAAATCGGCATGAGTTGTCAGCAGCGTGGAGATGGAAGTAAGCCACGGCGGGTTGAGTGCATGGTGTGGACATGAGATGAAAGACAGTGTGGGTTGAGAAAGTGTCAAGGTTGTTTTAGAGGTAAAAGTACACCCTGCTGAGCTAAACTTGACCATAATATCTGGGCCTGAAGTGCTTGGCTTGGAAGCCTGCAGACAGACCAGGTTAAACTCTGGATTGCAGGGAACTTAACGCTGCCCGAGGTGGTCGGGGGATTCAAAGCAGCGCCAGGCTGCTATCTTCTGCCACAGAGCGCATCCTCATACCCTGCTGCTGGGGGAGTAAGCATGAGAATTAGCAGGATCACACTTCGTAGGTCTGTCATATATCAGCTTTGTTATCTCTGATCTCAAGCACATTGAACAGGGAGGTGTTGAGTGGCATGGGTTTAGTGTGTGAAGTACAAACAACGCCACATTGGAGCAAGAGGGTGGGGTAAAGAAAGGAATGCTGCTGAGGGGGATAGTTTAAGACAAGGCCATGAAGTCCAAGGGCAAGGGTGGCAGATGTAAAAACCTGGTGGAGATAAGATCAGAAATCCAGCTCTGCGTGACGTCCCTTCATCATAGGATAATCCTCAGACATGAAAAGACTAGCCTATCTTCCATCTGAAGGAAATTGCTATTCCCCAGATTTTTCAGCAGTCTATTACCAAGCAGACACGCCCTTCACGCATCTGCCCACACACCCCTGAAGTCTATGTGTACTTTAGATAAGCCAGGGGAACAAGGTAATGCATATGGGTCTTTCTCAGGTGCGCCACACGTATGTTAGTCCATTCTACAGATGGGAAATATTGGTCAAACGGTCAGCTTTTTAAAGTGAAAGTAGGTCAAACAGATATTTCAATATGATAATGATATAGATTACACCATGTCTTTAGTAGGGACAAGACAAAAGGAGTATTAACTAGAGGATTAACTTGTAATTTAAAATGGGCCACTTGCAATGAACAAATGGTATATACGATTTTCATGCATCTGTTTTATTTTTTTTGTGTGCTGTTTTTCTGTTTGTAGGTTGCAGACACGAGGCATGGGATTGCTTGTTGCTTACGAGGATTATGGTTTTATTTTCAAAATGAAAATGACAGAAGTCAGTAATCCAGTGCAAAGGAAACAAAAGAGACCGAGGATGGGTTCAAATTCGTTTGACCTCAAAAATATTGCTACCCTCTCTGAAATGCAGTGCGTGCTTTCAGGAGACGACATGGTTTAAACTATCTGAGAAAACTGTAACACTGAAAAGGACAGGATGAACTTTAGCTCACCCAAAACATGTAGGAGCTTAACAGCTGAGTGCTCACTACCTCCGTTTCTCAGTTGGTCAGAGGCTATTTTACTGGATCCAAAAATACTGTGAGTGACTCTCACCACAAAGTTTCATTTCCAGAGCCAGCGGCCTGTAACCAAATAAAAAGGAGGGACTCGTGGAAATGCCTGCTTTGTTTGTTATTTTATCTGTTTCCCTTGTATTACAGGGTATGAGCTTGCATTTGACTTTCGGGATTGTTTTGCAGAATCCTGAAACACTAACATGACCTGAATGAGAAATGTCTCCTATTCACTTGCCCTGAAAAGAGCATCTATGATGAAGAAGTGTGGTACGCTTGTCTTTTCCACCCTTGCGGGAAGCAGGAGAAAACATTTATCACCACTCTCCTCTGCGCAGATAAGGTGTCTCTATTTATTCAGAGTGGAAGAGATAAACCCTGAATGAAGCACTGTGGGACAGAGAGAGAGAGAGAGAGAGAGAGAGAGAGAGAGAGAGAGAGAGAGAGAGAGAGAGAGAGAGAAAGAGAACGAGAGAGAGAGATGTTGAAAAAAAGGGAAAAGACAAGGAAACAGCTTGGTTTTCAATTGCTTGTGTGTGTCCATGTGAGCAGATGGCATCTATTGGAAAACCATCCCTTCTCAGTCAGGAGACTGGAGCACTGACCCTCGGCTCTAACCCCCTTCCAGCCACCACCACTACCACCGGCAACCGCCTTTCCTGCCTCCACGTGCCCCCTGCTTGCACTAATCCATTCCCACTATGAGACTGCTTGTATAATGCCATTTAATAGGAATAATCCCCAGGAGATGGAGCATCCTGTGTCCAGTAGGTCTGTGCACAAGGGGCGTAAGATGGCAGGGGCTGCAATAAAAGGACAATTTAGAAAGAAAACAAGGAAGTACAGTGGTTTAGTTGAGGGCCGCGCAAGGGACTGAGAGACACAGGGATTCAACGGGGACATGAATAGTGCTTCTGTCTCCTTGTTCTCCACAAGGAAGACAAGAAAGAGAGGAGGGGAAAAAAAGGAAAAAGAAAAAACAAACAAGAGCCAATTCTCCCTACTTCTGTCCTCTCAGCTGCTGATGTACAGCCATACTGTCCAGAGGTGAGAAACACAGTTCACATGCCCATTTCTCTCTGAAATTGCCTGTGTGTGGGGACAGAGGCTCCTTGTGAGGTGACTGGGCAGATGCTGTGTTCCTGAGATGAAATGCATGGGTTTACGGAAGAGCATGTCTACAGAGGCTTTTTTCCCCCTTTCTTTTCTTTCTCCAAACACACAGCTGTTGAGTTTAACAGTGGAACAACTTTGCACCCAGGCATGAACCGTTTCACTGACACGTTTCATAATTCCTGGACAATAACACCGCTGTAGATATTATTTCTTTCTTTAAAGAAAGCAACACAGCCTTCCCAAAGCGTTTCATGATTATTATAATGCTGGGGCTGCAGAAATGCAATACTCTGGAACAGCACTATTAAGAAAAAAAAACGATAGCCTAAATAAGACAGTAACATATAAAAAGCAGTTATTAGAGGATGGGTACGGTGTCGCGTAAAAGGCTATCAAAACTTGGTGCTCATGTGTACCAACGGTTTGAAATGGACAATATGGTTAAACACTGATGCAAATAGTCCCAACCCTACTTTGACGGGATACACCAGCTTCCCTGGAACTCACCTTGGAGGAAAAAAAGGGAGCGAAGAGAGTAGTTGCACAAACGCCAACAGTCCAGCTTTTTTGGAGAACTCCCCTCCGGTGAAATACTAAAAATAAAAAAAGAAATAAGTCCGCAAGCAAGTTCACATTTTACTCTCCTCACACGTCCTGTGAGAGGTTTCAGAAAGGCACTATTCCGTAGGAAAACACGGGGCTACTTGGTTGACCGATTTGACAATTCCTGTTGAAAGGCGACCGGTGGCAACTCCTCAACAAAAGAGTCTCTGGTTACAATAATCAGGGACTTTTCTCCACGCCCAGGTGCCGAGTCACATGGTAAATTCCAGGTGTGTGTGTGTGTGTGTGTGTGTGTGTCTCCAAGAGCCGTTGGCAGTGAACACACCTGTGGGATCCGCTCACGCGTTCGCCTTGCCTGTCATTGCGTTTGAAAACCGGGATGTGTGTAAGGAGGGAGAGAGAAGCGCGCACTGGAGCAGAACCGACGCGACCGGAATTATTGCCTCCCACTCCACGCTCACCGCCTGCTGACTGAAAGCTACTGTCTCTCTGCGTCTGTGTGTGTGAAGTCAATAAACGGCACCGTAGTAGAAGAGAGAGAGAGGAAGAAAACGAAACAAGTTGTGTCGTCTGTTCGCCGACGCACCGAAATATTTCCGCGGGCGGTGCGAGCGCGGTGTGGGAGCGGTGTGGGAGCAGCAGCGAGCCCCGCTCTGTGGTTTCCAAAGTGTGGTCCGGAACCAACAGGGGTCTATGAGGGTGGTTCCAGGTCATTCCAGTCTAAAGTGAGGAATATTCTTAAGGAATATCCATAAGGGAATGTTCAGAAGTAGCCTAAAGGTTTATAGTGTCGCTAACGTGCCCGCCCCCATCAGACTAAACACGTTACATAATTCTGTCAAGTCACACCATAATAAAAAAAATGTTTTTTTTTAAAGAAAAATTCCTATGTTTGTTAACTTGTCGATGTGTGACAAGTTCAACTTTGGGCTAAAGGGCCAGTTCACTGAAATAACATTTTACAACTCATTCTGTGATGGCTGGGATACACATTTATTTCTTCCACCAAAACAACACAATAAGGCTTATTCCACAGCAGACAGTTTGCCTCGTCTGAGTGGGAAAAACACTTATATAATGTTATAACATTAATGAAGGAAGCCATGGTACTGTGCCACACTGCATGCACAAATACCAGGAAACTGAAACTGAAACAGTTTGAATGGAATTCAGCCATCATTCATTTTATTGTTCTCGTTTTTTTCATAGTTTGACATGTCACAGAATGATTTAATAGTCACCTTTGCTTTAAAAAAACAAAACAATTTAAAGATGTTAAATTTGTTCAAAAGAATATTAGAACTTGTCTTTCAACTCCTCAAGTCTGTTTCCCACTTTTCTTTCCCACAAACAACACTACAGACAAGATGTCAGCGTGACAGCCGTTTCATTAAAGATACTCACAACATTGGAGAAATGGCATTTGAAAATAGCCTACAGCATGTATCTATTCAGAAACAACCCCATGTTTACTCAGGATATTCAGCAGACATCACTATGGACAGCTTTACCAAGGAAACAGCTTCCAGTGACTGTTGACAGCGAGGTCTGTCAGTTCTCCAGAGAAAGACACACTGAGTTTTTCAAAAGTAATTTCTTGATGCTTTTTAGCATCGCCAACAAGTTTCCAGTCACATTAATTATATTAGGGTAACAGTAGAAGCATCAGCAACAGCTTTTTCTTTAAAACAAATTCAACTTAAATGCATCACAATTCTTTTTGTCTTTGGAGAAAGGGCCTTTTAAGTTTGATTAATTAATTAAAGTAATAGTAGTATCGCTATGATCATTGTTACTTTCATTTTATGTTCCAATGTTTGTGCTGTTATGATGATGTACAGTAGCCTATAATTTAAATCTGTAATTGTCCTGTACTTTTAAAATCATCATTTTCATTTTAAATTGGGTAATTATCTAAAAGCCCACCTAGGGACAATAATTGTAAATTCGCTGTAACTATAAACTCTACATGCAGCACAGCCGATGTAAACTTAAATTACCCTGTCAAATAAACAAATAAATAAACATAAATAAACCAATGGTATTTCACGCAAATGAAGACAGATTAGTGTGGAATGGGAATTTAGGGACATTTCTTGGTTTAAAAATATGTTCAAGAGCAACCACTGCTCATTTATTTTGTATTTCACTGAGTCCCATTTAACTGTGTCCTTACAAGAACCATATTAGTAGTCATTATCACACAAATTATTGGTGTGCCCACTGTACCTTGGTTGCTGAATCGTTAATCACGAGAAGTGTATAGTCATTTTGAAGCACTTTAGTCAAACTTAAGAAACTGCTGTGATCTTTCATTGCCTTGTGAACATGTAATAATCTTTGAATCAGCCATATGTTTTGGGTCTTTTTTAGTAAGAAATTCACTGATTTTTGCCACATTCATGAAGCGAGGGGCTAAAAGTTGCTTTGATATCAGATATGGGCCATATGTGTGTAAGTACCACTCGAGCTTGATTGGCTCTGTCGTCACCCAAGAGGTTATGTGAATAGCTTATTTTTGCCTTAGAGCCTAATATCACTTAACACTCCAATTTGGCACATTGAGTTTTGTGGCTCTGTGTCATGCCTTGTTGTGTGGCTGGGTGTCAGTTTTGTGAGTGATTTATGGGCATGCAAATGAGGCTGTCTGTTTGGGGAGATGTGCTGCTTTTGCCCAGTGGGCCTTAGAGTGAAGACTGGAGACTGCGTGGGTGTGAGTCAGTCCCTAACTGCTGACACAGGCACGGAGCTGGCAGAGATTCACAGAGCAAGATGGGGAGATGGCCTTCACAGGTCCTCAGGTTGACTGATGAGATCAAGGAGAAACTAGGCCAAGCCAGACAAGTGTCAGGCAAACAGACACCCAGAGATAGAGTGAGAGAGACAAACACATCCCCATCACAAATAGAGCTGGGAGAGTGGAAAGTGGCGGCGTAGAGCTGGGTTGTTTTGGGTCCGGGTTCAATATGTCCAAACCTGTTTGTCTAAAGAGTAATGAGCCTGCTGAGTCTTGGAACATGCTAGCCCAGGGGATGTCGGTATCCAGAAAAGGCCAAGTCAGAGCTCTCTAAATTCACTATAGTGGAATAGAAGTTCACTTTGTTCTACTAGATAGCCTGACTGTGATGACATTTTGATCAATGCGCCTATACCTTCCTGTAGCTTGCCTTTATGTTACTTGAATAGTGATGATCTGTTATCATGCTGGTGTCAAACAGTACCATTTGTCATACAGTGTCCCTTAGCTGGTCCAGGCTGTAAAATGTTTGACTATCAACACATTATACAGCCTAATTTATGACACAGCATTTCAGTTGTCCTCAATGATGTAGTGGTCATAGCAGATTCAAGGTTCTCGATTCAGCAGCTGTTTGCAATGTGGATAGACTGCCCTCTGTTGTTGGCAGCCTGTATCGTTTCATAAGCAACCTCATTAATTCAGCATTTATAAGCAATATGTAAACAATCATATACTGCTAATTAATAAATGATTTATACTGTATTGTAGTTGCATGCAGCAACAAATCCATTTTAAATGTTAATTAATCTCCTATGAAGACATAATATTTATCACTATACCTCTGTGTTGCTATATCATCATTCATTATCAGTTTATGCACCAGCCTCCATTTATGGGTGCTCAGTCATAATTGTTGACTTTAATATTCAAAACTTAAATATTTATACACTGATTATAAATGCTAAATAGGGGAACTTAAGGTAAAGTGTTGCCAACAGGATTAACTTTTAGGTAAACGCCTTATATCAACCTTTACTGAGTGTCCTTTATAATAAACCTACAAAATAACACAAATACCTTAAAGACAGTAGAATCCCATACAACAATACTACAAGTAACAAATGATTAAACCAACACCTCTCTGATTTACAGATATTACGACTAGTATTGTTGCAGTGATGCATATATGTATTAGATTATATATATGCGCACACATTGATATGAGTAAAGCAGATTTGAGGCCTATTCACTGGACTTTTTCAGGGACCTGGCAATATGGCAGTTTCCATGGAAGGCGACCCGTATGTAGATATAAACAGCTCATTGTAAGGTTACAAAAACATTACAGTTCCTATATTCAGGTGATTATACACTGTTGAAAACATACATATACATATTATATTAAATTTCTGCCAATAGAGCCTCCTAAATGTTACACACTGGACCTTTAAGAGTTAAAGCAGGGATACAGTTTGGGATCTATGTGCTATGCTATGTTATGCTATGTTTTTCGCCGATAGAGCAGGCATATGCAGTCCTTAACCATTAATTCCTCAAAAACAAACATAAGACTCTCACAGATAAAGCTTTGTTAATCATATGCCATTTGGTAAATAACAGCAGTATGTTATTAACCATAGTACCATCAAGGAATTCATTTTTAGTACAGGTGACCAAAGTCGACACACGGAATGTTTATGCCATGTTAGTCTCATGCTCTCTAATCACCTATTCAGTAAAAACAATATTATTCTACACATCCTCACAATACTTACCCTTGGGTGGTGCCCTTGATATTGCAACTCTATTGTCAGTAACTATCAGTCTTGTTACTTTTTGTATCATCAGGTGAAGGTTGCCAGATATACTGTAGTGGCAAATCTAAAGATGCAGAGATAACAGATGGAGCAGTTCACAGACACAGGAAGCTGTCATGGTGGTGAATGATAAAGGTGTGAAGAAAGACTCGACGGGGAGGCAGAGGAAGGTTATTTAAAGCGCAAGGAACACTTTGATTTGAATGGCTCCCTGACCTAGCTAAGTGTGCCTGCAGCTGTCAATATGACTTATAAGTAATTACAGAGGGAGGGAGGGATGTGTGAGCAGCCGAGCAATGGCTACTCTACACAGGGCTTAGATCCTCCGCAAAGGCATGTGCGACAAGGAGACATCAGGTTTGGCATAAAACGGACAGACAGGCTTATGGTGCCATTCTGACTCAGTCTGGGAATAACCACAAGCTGGGAATAGCAGGGTGGCATCAGTGTGTGGGTTGGTGTGAACAGTCTGCAAGCATGTGTATGCGTCTGCATGTATGTGTCGGAGACAAAGAAAGACACAATATTTAAATGAGAAGATTGATGTTTGAAGATGCTGCTTGAGTGTAGAGCATAATACGGACATCTGCACATCATTCACTTGTATATTCGTATTGCTGTGTGGCATTGAGGAGTGAAACTAAAACACTAATGTAACACTATGTCCCTGACCTTGAAGTTTAGGGAGGAACTAAAAGGCACCATGAGCGACATTTGTCTTCCCTTATCAGATGTCCACTTGCACTGGCTGAGCTGTCACTTTACCCAAGAAAAATGTCATTGTTTTCCTCTCTCTGCTCATAACACAATCTAATCACATTTTGCCCAGCTCATCCTGTATTGTCCAGGTGGCCCCACTCTGAGAAGGAACAGAGGGACAGCATCAATAAATGTCCTTAACCAGGCTGATGTGATGTAGCCCAGATTACACAAAGCCCTGTGTACATCCAACTACACTCATGTGTCGGTACACAAAAATACACACCTGCTTGCATGCATACACCTTCATACCAAGTGTGCACCATTTCCATCCCCTATTGAGTCAGTAACATCAGTAATTCAAAGAGGTTGTTTGTCCTTGACAAGGTCTGTAGAAGTGTGATTATAGGGAGAAAGCTGCACTGTGTGGTCTAAGCTGGATCAGCGTAGTTGGCACATACACAGTCTACAGACTTTACTGACAAGCTTACATTTCCCCAACCCAAAACAGTCTTAACCTGCTATGAGCTGTTCCATGTGGTGTAATATAGGTTAGATCGTGATCTGAGTATGACATTGATTTTTTTCTCTCCCTCTCTCTCTCTTTTTTGAGCTCTCTGATTGATGGTTCATGGGGAAAAATAGCTCCCAGCGTGTTGAAGACTATGGGCTGCCCACTGAGCCCCTTTTGGATGCCATGGTATTATGTGGGCTGCCCAGCAGCCTGTGCTGAATGGCGGAAACAGCTAAGCCATCTGTTACACTCTATTTTCATCTCTCTGCCTACCAGTGGGGAGAGCCATGGCACAAAGGGACTTCAACTGTTCTCACAGAGTCCTATTTGTTCAACAGGTCAAGTCTAAGCTTTGCAGTGTAGGACCACCAAACCAGATCTCATTTATGAGGCCCAGGTGATTACAAAACCCCACACATCGCTTGACTGGGCAGAGCTGATGATAAAGGAGAAAATACTAATACAAAAAAGTAATCAGGTGCCTTAGAGAATTAGAGGAGATTATCGCTGGCACGGTTGTTAAATGACCATAACCCAATGTGTCCTCAAATGCTTCTTAAGTCTGGTTAAAAGGATCATCCTGTGAATTGAACTCTGTTTCATGTAATGTGTGTTTCTTGGGTTGAGAAAAGAAAAATTTGGGCTTTCCAGGTAAGGATGAAACAGAGGCTGGCAGGATTCATTTGAGATTACTTGGCGCAAACATGGTGTAATCCCCTTATCTGCGTACTTACCTGTCCCTGACAGTGATCCAAGCCTACCTCTATGAACCTCATTGGCCTGACATTCTGGCAGGAGAAAATCCCTGTCTAATGTGTCAGCCCAGGCAGCTTTAACACCTGGCACGCCGGTGCTTATCTGCTGAGCACCCAAAAGCACCTGCATTATCCCACTGAAGCCTCACAACAAGTGAAAGCTAATATCCACACGGTGAAATTACAGTTTGTGTCATACCACAAACACACAGCGTGCAAAGTGCATACCATTACCAAAGGCTTATGACCTGATCAAAACACACCTACAGTATCAGACATCCTGCCATTTTGACATCCTTTCTCTCAGTGGCTGGCTCCTAGAGGAGTTTAGAACTGATAAATCAGGCTTATTACTTTTAAACTAATGAATGGTCTAGCCCCTGTTAGTATCCCTCTACAACCCATATTGTTAGGACCTCAATTAAATCTTTTATGGTTTATCCCATGGAGCGTTTCTATTCACGCTTGTTAATCTAGGTGTTTATTTATATATTTTCGCTTGCATTTCTGAAACATTAGCTATATGGCTCTTTATAAAAGTGATATATATTGAAATGAGAAGATGGAGGAGAAAAATAAGAAACATGACCAATTTTAAAAGCCCAGTGTGTCACTTTTAGGAGCATCTATTGGCAGTAATGAAATATAATAATGTTTTCATTAGTGTATGATCACCTGACTATAGGAACTGTTTGATTTTTATAACCTTAGAATGACACCCCAGGTCACCTCCGCCATGTTGAACCGCCCTGTTTCTGCACCATACTATGGCTGTAGATAGGGTGTTTGACGTTTTCCACAAGTTACGTGGTCATCATAGTTTCTCCAACACACATTTCCCAGCCGTTCTCATTACCAGGTCCTCAAATACTTTAGTGAGTTGTGTTCAATTAGTTGCAATCTGCAACTTCACTGCTAGATCCCACTGAATACACACTGGTCCTTTAACAGGTGAAGGGCAAAATGAAAACACTACACTACACTACACTACACAACAATGCAGCTCACCTCTTTAAAGTTTTCTCAGGGATATTAATATTAGGCTATTCAAAGTCATATGCTTCCATAATTGACCGTCTAAAAATTGTTGCTGCCCTAGTGCTTAAAATTAATGGCTTCTGCAAACATGAAACTTGTTTAAGGCAATGTTATGAAAGGTAATCAATAACATACACAGAGTAATAGCACAAGTACAAATCATAGACTGATACAAATACGAAAAAGAGGACTTGACTAATCTCTTTCCGCTCCGGACATTTTTCATTCGTGTTAACTTCTAGCATCACGGCAGAGCATCTTTTTTCCACAGGTACTGACCAGGTGATAGTTATATATTACCCTGACCGCCCTGTATCGATTAATTTATCTGTGATTTGGATATAGCGCTTCGAACAACTCTCAAGTTTTCCTTCCGAAAAGTTTGACTTCTTCCCAGCGTCCACAGCAGCGTGCAGGTGAGACCAGTTCAATTGTCGTGCATGTTAATGTCTGTTGGAGGCAGCTAGCATGGATGGCACAGTACAGCATTAATAATAGACTGCATTCAAATAAAGCTTCGTTTTATTATTTATTTATTTTACAACATTGTGATATTTTATGGTGATTTTAAACTATTCTGGACTGTCAGTTGACGTTAATCATTCTAACGGTTTACGTTACGTACGCATTCTAACGGGCTAAACCAACTAACGTTATTTGGTAACGTTTTTCATAAACACACCGTGTTTATTACTATTAGTTTAATATTTGGCTTTTAACTACGTTAATATTACACATTTAAGTCATTTTTAAATCAACAGACCCTCGTAGAGAAAGTAGGGCAGGTTTTGTCCGTGTCTCTGCTGACATCTGGTGGGGGTTCAGTAGCATAGCATTGTCGAGGGGCGGGTGGGAGCCATGATTGACTGGATTATTAGTTTCCTGGTCGTTTTAAAATGCTGTTCCCTTAAAGGAAATATCTGACTGTATGCTGTAATGTAAAGGGAGACCGCTGTTTTCTGAAACACCTTTTACCCGAGTGAGTATGTATGCCAGCTCTCCTAAACGGGTATTTGCGATTTGAAATTCAGGCCACGCGGCCACCGTAGACTGTCGCCGCTTACTGAACAATTATATCAAAAGTTTAAAATACATAACGTTACCTGGTTGTGTGTCGTTTCATTTAAATGCATATTCATTGTATATCACAAAGTGTTTATCTTCCTTTAAATGGAGATAAAAATGTGTGCTAAGACGGGACGGATATTAAAGTCAGCGTATGGGAGGTTCTATCCCATGATGCATTGCGACCTGGCGATAGTTTTAAATACATTTTCATTTAAAAACGAAGCTTAAAACTACAACAAAATAAGAGGGTTAGGCGAAGAGTACGTGGTATATAATTGTCCCCAGAAGACCATATGATTGTTTTATGGAAAAGCTGTAACACCGTAACCGAACAACATACGCAGCGGAGTGACCACCCTCTCCGGACTGACTTAATGTCAGCTTTGCGCAGTGGCAGTATCGTAGCCTATGAGGTTTATCCGAGGCGCGATTATTGCTAGTTGAAAACTTTACCCAATACCCCGCCTTGACGACTTGAAATATAGTCGGCAATGGCAATTTTTGACGGTCTCTAAGGAGACTGATCCGGTGTAGAATTTAAACTAGAATGTTAAGGAGAGACTGTCGAACAACCAAATGAAAACACCTATCTGTAGTAACTGCTATGAATCACTATGGGGTGTTAAAGCACAGACGAAATATACGTAGATCTCTCATGACATGCTTGAACGTAATTCAGCGTCGCGTCGCGTCGCCGCCATATTGGTTGGGTCTCCTCAGTCTACGTTAGCACAACGGAGAGAGAGCAACCAGAGACTGTCTGATAAGGACGTAGACGGGCTCTGGAGCAACTGTGCCCGTATTTTGTGCAGCTTACGGTTGCAGTAACCGGCGCGGTATTGATACCAGATCGCGTGCGATTACCTTTCACAAGTCAGATTGAACAATAATTTTGGTTATTTTACCATTTAGAATATTAGGTTTAGAGATGGTGCGACCCCATCTGTCTTCAACATCCCATGTCATCTCCAAAGAGTAGGTGTATTTTTACTCTACATGCTAACAGAGATGTCTATGATTCTTATGTAAAACATAAGTTAATATCACACTTTGCTAAACATGTTTTCTACCGTTAGTTATTTCTGCATGTTTAGGAATTAGTGATGTTTTGTGTATTACAATACACTGTGGGATACTAAAACCTTCTCAAGTGTTTTTAATAAAGTTGTTTTTAAGTATTATGTTTCTTATATTTTAGACTGTAGTGACAAGGAACACAAAACCTTAAAGGAAAGCTGAAGAGAGCCTACCAGTGGACATTTCTCAGCATTTCCCTGAAAGTGAACCTCAGCCCAATGATGTGAGTATTTGTAGGCTATTTGATATATCCCATACAGCTGTGAGCATCATGGCTCTGGTCATATCAAAATCTCTCCCTTGCTTTCGGCAACTCTTGTCAGACATACCCACATATACACTTTTTATATGTTATAAATAAATAAATAAACACACACACACACACACACACACACACACACACACACACCCTCTTTACTGACACTCTCTCTCACTCTCTCATGGTGCTGGCAGTGATATTATGGGTAAGAAATTAAGAATGTGTGCCTGCACATATGCAGTGCTATGCACCCAACAACTGTGAGTGGTATGATATAAACGTCACTGAAAATATTTTCATCCTCCTTTCTACTAGGACCACTCCTATGCATTGCCCAATTCTCCTACTCGTCTAAAGGCCAGACTCAGTGGAGCTTTGGCTAGAGTGGAGAGTCTAGAGCGGGAGAAGCAAAATGCAAAGGCCCGAGAACGGAGAGCAAAGAAAACCGTAAAGAGTCTTCTGGAAGATTTGAAGGAAAAGAACCTTATAAATGAGGAGTTGAAAGAAAGGCTTGACTTCCACTCAGGTAAAATAAATTGATAATACAACCTTGAATTTTATGTTGTTTACACTCTTTGTCAGACTTTATGAAGGTATTATTTCAAGGGAACTTACTAACTAGTTTGTATTAACTGAATTTCAGATCTTCAGATAGACTTCTTTTGAAAGCGGGGCCATGAATACACGAAGGACCACAGAGAGTTTGCCCTCACACTGCACCTCCATGGTCCGAAAGCATACAGTTACCTGAGGGATTCTCTGCATCTTCCCCCTGCCACATCCACATACGTTGCAACGGTGTAGTACATGTTTTTTTGATTACACTTTTTAAACATACTGGTTAAAATACTTAAAACACTTCAGCCCTACATAATGTACAACAAACAGGGAACTGATGTAGAAGTTTTGAGCGTGTATGTGCTATTTTCACAATTTTTTGAAAGTCTTGGAAAAAAGAAAAAAAATGAAAATGTGCCCAAAATAGGGATCCAAGGGTTGAAGCACTTAAATAACTATTTTCTTTTTGTAAAGGTGGATGCAATCAGTGGATGCCAAGCCTGGGCTGAACACAATGATGTTGGAGATGTTGCAGAGAAGACGTGAAGAAGACCCTGCTAAATATGGCTCATGTTGGATGCCATGGCCATCAAAAAGCATGTCCAGTACAATGAGCCATGAGCCGTTAAAAACCTTCTTTGAACATCCAGTGACCGCTGACAGGGTGTTTGTGTTGATAGATAGATAGATAGATAGATTGATAGATACTTTATTTATCCCGAGGGAAATTCAAGTATCCAGTAGCATACAAAATACATTAAACATACATTAGACTAAAATTAAAATCCCTAACCTTAAGAAAATAATTAAAAATAAAATAGAAGATAAAATATAAAGTATTATATATATATATATATATATATATATATATATATAATATATAAAACTAACAGTAGCTACAGTAAATGGTGCAAACAGTAAATGGATGTGCAAAATACAGATAGAAATTGTCCATTGTCTATTATCTGTTGTCCTCCCTGCCTTTACTGAGAGCTGTTGTACAGTCTGATGGCCAGGGGGACGAACAAGTTTTTGAGTCTGTTGGTGGAGCTGGACTGGGACAGCAGTCCGTCACTGAACACACTCCTCTGCCTCGTGCAGAGGATGGTGGGTGTTGTCCAGTATGGACAGCAGTTTGTCCAGGGTCCTCTCTGCCACTGTCACCAGAGAGTCCAGCTCTGTGCCCACCACTGCGCCAGCTCTCCTCACCAGTCTGTCCAGTCGACAGGCGTCTCTCCTCTTGCTGCTTCCTCCCCAGCAAACCACAGCATGAAAGAGCCCGCTGGCCACCATGGACGCTGGTCACATGTCGAAACTGGCACACAACATGTTGCAGGCTTAAAGCCCAATAACCAGCGCCCCTGGAGAAATCAGCTGGTCATACATTGTTGAGCTCAACAATGTCCAAACAAAAGATGGACTGCATGCGGCCAACAAGATAACAAACAAGCATGTCCACTTTGATGGCCAGGAGATGAAGGTGTCCCTGGCTGCACAGACACTGAGTGACTCTTTAGTGGTAGTACTGCACACACTGAGGGACCTTGGTTATTCACAGTTTAAAAACTGTGTAGCAACAGCAGAATTCATTGAGGTAATGTAACATACAAACATTGTTATATAACACTGCATATTCTGCATGAAATCCAACTCTGTTTATACTTACCTGTAGAGGGAAATCCAAGCAGAGCTGTATACTTAAATACTTACTTGTTTTATATATTGAAATTAGATTATAATTTGATCTCCATGATACGATACCACTGTTTGGGGTGATATCTCAGTTAACAGAGCCTTATGCTTTTTTTAGATGATTGACAGGTTGTTTGACGTCCTGAACAGCCGCAATCTGCGTGCAAAGGGATCCAAAGCTCCTCTGGGTGCTTTGAATTGGACAGAGAGAGTAGAGCTCTTGTTAAGAGGCAGGGAATACTTGTTCAGTTTGGTGATGAAAGATGGCACACCCCCCACACTCCCATCCTCAAACAAAGAGGTTTTTTAAAATATTGAATGGTTTCCATGAAAAGTTCACGACATCATAAGTTAATATGATGCTCTGTTCTCTTGCTACACATCGAGTTCATAAGATGCTCTTTCTCTTGTTCGGATCTTTTTGCTGTCTGCAGTTTTGTTTCTGTTGACTCTTCTGTTCAGTATTTTTCAGGTCATACAGGACAGGTGTCAAAAATGGTATGAATGTTCATATGATGTTGTTGTGTGCAAAACCAGAGGCAGGAATTAATGTGAGTCCCTCGGTCCGTGTATGTTTTGGTCATTGGATTTTCCTTTCAGAAACGGGTATTAAAAAATAGAAAACGAGTGGTTATTTGATTTTCGTTTTAAAATACAAAAATTAAAATTGAAATACAAGGCGTTTTTCTTTTTCATGGTCAAAAAGGGATGAACGAAATTTAAAAAATGATTCGATTTTCATTTTCTATTTCATATAACAAAAAATAAAATCACTAGAAAACAGAAACGGAAAAAAGGCCTGTTGTTTCATATTCTGAGACCGGATGTTGTCATTTACAGGACGGTGCTGTGTAGAAGAAACAGTGGGCTAGTAGACTGCGGTCAATCCAGCCGTGAGTCCGATCTCCGTGGTCAAATCAGCCGCACTTAAATTTAGAGTGCACAAGTATTCTCAGCATTATGGTAAATGCGGAGAAACAGCGTATTTACTTCCGGTTTTCAAAATAAAGGTATTTAGAGCCGTAAGCTATAATTAAAATATGTTACATTAAAGTGTTGTGCCCCTGATGAATAAAAAACACTTTATATCAAGTATCTTTACTGCACCAGTGTGGAGAAATGCCAAAATAAAAGCCTCATATTTATGCCTCCAGAGATTGCATATTTTCATTTATTTGAGGTACTGTAAAAACATATTGCTCAGTGTTTCCTGGCTACTGATGGTATATTTGACTTTTACACATATGAGACTACAAACCTACTTAATATCAAGCATTTTTACTGTACCAATTTGGAGAAATTCAACAATAAAAGTCCATATTTGTACCTCCAAGTGGTATTTTCATATATTTGAGCTACTGTAAAAACACTTTGCTCAATAATTCCTGGCTATGGATGGTATATTTGACTTCTACACATCTAAGACTACAAGTATACTTAATATCAAGCATTTTTACTGTACCAATGTGGAGAAATTGAAGAATAAAAGTCCCATATTTATACTTCCAGATTCCATATTTTCTTATATTTGAGCTACTGTAAAAATGTAAACTGTATGTGGAACCACCTGCAACAGCTGTCACACTGAATAATATAAAAAATAATATGTGAGGAAGAGACAGTAGGTACAATGGTGTTTTGAAGTTAAAACTAATTATTTTTCCCTTTTACCTACAAATGGACACAGCAGAGCAGCAAAATAATAAGAATGTGGACTGGCATTGCATTTTGTGTGAAAAGTAAACAAATTAGAATTGTGTAGGATTTTGTGTTTAGTGTTTATATTATCAAGATGTTATTAAACATTTGTGTGAAATTTTGTCGTGATTACTGCAGCATTATTGAAGTATAATGAAAATGCTTCACCCATAGCCTGGAAATATTGAGCAATATGTTTTTACAGTAGCTCAAAAATATAAGAAAATATGGAATCTAGAAGTATGAATATGGGACTTTTATTCTTCAATTTCTCCAAATTGGTACAGTAAAAATGCTTGATATTAAGTATACTTGTAGTCTTAGATGTGTAGAAGTCAAATATACCATCCATAGCCAGGAATTATTGAGCAAAGTGTTTTTACAGTAGCTCAAATATATAAAAATATGCCACATGGAGGTACAAATATGGACTTTTATTGTTGAATTTCTCCAAATTGGTACAATAAAAATGCTCGATATTAAGTATGTTTGTAGTCTCATATGTGTAAAAGTCAAATATACCATCAGTAGCCAGGAAACACTGAGCAATATGTTTTTACAGTACCTCAAATAGGGTCAAATATGCAATCTCTGGAGGCATAAATATGAGACTTTTATTTTGGCATTTCTCCACACTGGTGCAGTAAAGATACTTGATATAAAGTGTTTTTTTATTCATCAGGGGCGCATGAAACACTTTAATGTAACATATTTTAATTATAGCTTACTGTTCTAAATACCTTTATTTTGAAAACCGGAAGCAAATACGCTGTTTCTCCGCATTTACCATAATGCTGAGAATACTTGTACACTCGAAATTTAAGTGCGGCTGTTTTGACCACGGAGATCGGACTCACGGCTGGATTGACCGCAGTCTACTAGTCTACTGTTTCTTCTCCACAGCACCGTCCTGTAAATGACAACATCCGGTCTCAGAATATGAAAAAACAGGCCTTTTTTCTGTTTCTGTTTTCTAGTGATTTTATTTTTTGTTATATGAAATAGAAAATGAAAATCGAATATTTTTTTTAATTTCGCTCATCCCTTTTTGACCACGAAAAAGAAAAACGCCTTGTATTTCAATTTTAATTTTTGTATTTTAAAACGAAAATCAAATAACCACTCGTTTTCTGTCTTTTAATATCCGTTTCTGAAAGGAAAATCCAATGACCAAAACATACACGGACCGTCCCTCCTGCTTTAAGGAGCATATCTTGTATTGCACTTCTTTTGCTTTTAAGCTCTCCTTTTTCAGTTTTAATATCGTTCCTAGTTGTTCCTGATACTGACTTATACTCTCAAGAAGCACCCAGTAATTTTGCATCCAGTAGATTTGCACTGCACTTAAATCATTTACCAATCAGGGACTTTATTGGAGCAAAACATGTATTGCTGCCGCTATCTCTGTCACCATGTGTTGTGTTACTTGTTATGAATATTTGTAGAAGAGTCAATTAACGTCTTTCAATAACTACAATTACTAGGTGCTCTCGAGGTGTCTTGTTTTGCCATGATCTTATTGATGAAACGTTTTCTTTTGAAGGTATCTGTCAGTCATCGGCTTTGTCATCAACATGGACACATTGTTGATAACGATTCCTGACCTGCTCCAAGTTCAGCGTTATGTCTGCACATACCGCCTCAGTCAGGATCACTTGGAGCTTTTGTTCTATTCTGTCAGGGCATCAGGTAGAATTTGCACATTTATAATTAGTCTTTTTAGTCCGTGGGCCAGACCGGATATTGGTACCTTCTGGGTGGGCAAATTCTAGTAGAGATTTTTTTATACCTATACATCCCTAGTTTACAGTATGTTTTGATGTGATAGACCTCTCAGACTGGTCACCTATTGGTGGCTATCACCTCATGAAGTAACCCACCCCCTAAAGTAAACAGCACATCAAACACCAGTGCGCATCTTTTTATAGCCTTCCTGTGGAAGGAACATGGTTGTACAGTTATTACCTTACTTACCATTTATAGACTACCTGTGGGAAAAAATGGTTATACAGTTTCCTTACTTACCCTCAGAAGATATATATTTTATGACTCTGACTGTCCCCATTAAACATCTCTGTAATGTAAGTGTGTAAATGTTTTAGATTCTTTTTAGGAGGCTGGAATAACAATCCAACTGCAGGGCAGTTTCAAGGCATTTTCCGCCGTCTGATGGTCCGTTGTGGTGTCTCACCAAGTGGGTCAGGCAACTGTGTCCCCTTCAGCTGCAGACATGCACTCTGCTTTAATGACAGAGGAAGAGCTCATGTCCCCATTTGCAAACATTTCTGCAGTCATAGTGACCACAGTTACCTGCCCACCCGCTTTGGAGGTCTTGTGGACAATGCCCTTGTCTACATTTCAGGGTTTGTTGTCAGAAAAATTCTGAAAAAACTGTCCTGTGAGGTGTGCCATGCAAGCGTTGTCACAGCTGCTGTACCCTGATCCTTTGACCAGAGCTACCACCTGCTTGAGCTTGAAAACAATGGTGGGCTGATGATCCCCTCAGAGGGAACAGTGAAGGTGGTCAGAGCAGCAGAGCGTGTGATTCGACAAAACTCAAAAAAACAAGGTGTCAGTGTGTCCTTCGTCAACCGTTTCGTTCGGGCAGAGATTGGTTCAGAGGATGTGTTCTTACTCGGGGAGCACATTGCAGAAACCCAATTCGGAATTGAGAACCATCATTTCATGCTTGTGTCATTTGTGGTGTCTGTATTTCACAAAGTAAGGCTGCACCACATCGCAAAATTAACTACTCGGGAGTTACAGAATGCCAGCATATGCAAGAAGCTGTGCAAAACAGTTCTTTCTCAAGGGGTTCCCAGCCCCAGTTGCAATGTTTACGCAACAAAGTTTTTAGCAGTTCCTGGGTGTGGCTTAGTGCAGGGGATTTCACCCCAAGGAATAAAATCAGTTACTCATTAGGAGACAAGTTACCTATTTATTTTAAGTTAAACATTATAGGACACACATATCTAGTGTCCTTGTTAGATATGATGTTGATGTCACACAAACTGTCTATAGTTTAGGTTAGCGATGATTTCACAACTGCACCAAATTGAGCATCAGTGGTACTGTTTACAATGTACACAAACACTTGTTACAATGTTATGACATCAGATAGTTTACACCTAAACAAATGCACGTGTGTGAGTGAGTGAGTGAGTGAGTGAGGAGAGAGAGAGAGAGAGAGAGAGATAAATTCAAATGAACAATCAAACTTTTTTCTTCAGTCTATGAGGCGTCTATGTATATTATTTATTATGTGTATGTGTTAAAGGACAGCAAGCGTTCTTTTATGTTATTTTATGTTCTCACTTCCTGGTCTGTAAACCACCATTCATACATTTTGTATAAATATTAAATACTTGCATTAAACCTACAGTGTTTTATATAAGAAGTCTATGAGGTGATACAGTAATTTTTGAACGGTTTTATGAATAAAAATCAGACTAGAGAGGGCGGGACAAATATAGAGGTGCAGCTCAGAATAGTTAGTCTTATATTTACCTTTACAAAAACAAATAAAAAACCCCTAGTCTCATCCTCCTACCCAACTACAATCAGAGGCATGTTGATGTAAACATGCAAGTCACATCCATAATCAACATTTAAACCTACATAAACAACAGTAGTAATATAGATAGACAGTAACAGTTTAACTCTGTCATTTAACTTACACCTTTTAACTAAACAATCACAATTAAAGTCATATCCGTATATTTTACTGTCATTCTACTGTATGCATGTTAAGACCCTAACAGAGGGGGCTGTAGGCCTTAGTGACACCCCCTCCGTACCTCTTACTCTTCAGCTTTGCGCAGTGGCAGTATCGTAGCCTATGAGGTTTATCCGAGGCGTGATTATTGCTGGTTGAAAACTTTACCCAATACCCCGCCTAGACGACTTGAAATATAGTCGGCGACGGCAATTTTTGACGGTCTCTAAGGAGACTCATGTGTTGTTTAATATAAACTTAAATACTGTTAAACTACTTATTTTATCACATGGTGAAAATACAACGTGATTAAGATATAATTTTCCTCCTACAGTGTGTCTCTATTCTTGTAATTCTTGATCGTAATGCAGGACTTCATCCATGTTTATATTTCAGTGTAATAACTGGTCATTTAAGTGTTTTGATTTCAGTCCACTGAAAGTAAATCTGTAGTTTCAATATGTTCTGTTATGTTTATATGTTTAACTCACTGTTAAAATGAGACTGATAATTGGTTAAGGTAAAACATGGCATACTCAGAAGAGTTAGGACCATATATATACATATATATTATATATATATGTATATATATATATATATATATATTTATTATTATGTCTGTGGTCAGAACTTATTATCGTGCCCAGTGTGGTTGTGTTCAGGGACCCATAAATAAAGACGTACACCGGGTACGTCACGTCCGTGTAGAAGTTATCTCACTTGTTGTGTATTTATTTAACGTTGTAGGTGAGTTTTTATGTTATATTGTTCGTTGTTTGTGACTTTAGTTGTTACTAGTTAACTACACTAAGTTACTATATAATTCATTCATCATAATATGTTACATAACGGCCGTTTGGTTACTCGGTTACACTTCGGGACTCTTTAGCATTTCCTTTTTGTCTATCCTGTCTTCTACATATGAACTGCTCCCATTTTTAAATACAGCTTTATAAAGTACACATGGCTCCTCTTCGGAGATGTTATGTTTGACCTTTCTACACAATAATAACGATCCATATGAAACTCGTACATTTGAAACCACGCCCATGAATGAAACCCTAACAGAGAGGTGTGTGTCCCGGAGACACCACCATGGCGTTTCCAGTCAGTCTTCAGCTTTGCGCAGTGGCAGTATCGTAGCCTATGAGGTTTATCCGAGGCGCGATTATTGCTAGTTGAAAACTTTACCCAATACCCCGCCTAGACGACTTGAAATATAGTCGGCGACGGCAATTTTTGACGGTCTCTAAGGAGACTCATAAACTGTTGAAGTAAAAGATTATTCAATGACTTCAATGTTAGAGATTTCTGTAAAATTTTAGAGAATAATCTAACAGAAGATATTACACCGTGCTTTAGATTAAGTCTGTTTTTGTAATACAATGTGATATTCTCTATTCTTGTAGTCTCCGAGCATAATGCAGGACTTCACCCATATCTGTGTTTCAGTGTAATAACTTTTTTTTCCTTTTACTGTTTTGATTTGGGAATTTCTGCCAGTGAAAGTAAATCTATAGTTTCAATTTGTTGTGTTATGTTTATATGTTTAACTCACTGTTAAAATGCGACTGATAATTGGTTAAAGTAAAAAAAAAAAGAATAATAAAGACATTAAATACTTGCATTAAACCTATAGTGTTTTATATAGAAGTCTATGAGGTGATACAGTATTTTTTAAATCAAAATCAGGCTAGAGAGGGCGGGACAAATAATAGAGGTGTAACTCAGAATAGTTAGTCTTATATTTACCTTTAAAAAAACGAATAAAAAAACCTCTTTGGAGAGTGACTCTAGTCTCATCCTCCTACCCAGATACAATCAGAGGCATGTTGATGTAAACAAAGTCACATCCGTAATCAACATTTAAACCCACATAAACAACAGTGGTAATATAGATAGACAGTAACAGTTTAACTCTGTCATTTAACTTACACCTTTTAACTAAACAATCACAATTAAAGTCATATCCGTATATTTTACTGTCATTCTACTGTATGCATGTTAAGACCCTAACAGAGGGGGCTGTAGGCCTTAGTGACACCCCCTCCGTACCTCTTACTCTTCAGCTTTGCGCAGTGGCAGTATCGTAGCCTATGAGGTTTATCCGAGGCGTGATTATTGCTGGTTGAAAACTTTACCCAATACCCCGCCTAGACGACTTGAAATATAGTCGGCGACGGCAATTTTTGACGGTCTCTAAGGAGACTCATCAAGTGTTCAAAAATAATACCATAAATAATTTAACTGGAAGAAAGCATTGGTCAGCTCTGATCTGTTATACAACAGAAGAAATCATAAGTGCTACATAAACTATAAGCCCATAAAAATTAGCCTATATAATGTATAGTATGCAGTAGTCTTGAAGCTTTTCTATTTTTTGTCAATTCAATTTTTAACATATTTGTGGTGATCATTCACCATGCTTTGTTAGTAGTACCTCAGCTCTCCATAGGGGGACATTTATTTTCATTCTGTATAGTTTGACTGGTGTCTGCAGTCCCTGTAACATTATTTTCCTTTTGTAAAAGACTCAGACCACTAAGGCCATAATATCAGTAGGCGTAATGCAACACTAATGTAACATAGTTAAAGGAACCATTCCTCACACTACTGTATACTATACACTAGATAATATAATGCATACATACATTACCCTTTTTACTTGGAGGTATAAACCTTTAAATAAAGAACTTGCATCTTTAATGTGGTGTTAAACATCCAGAATGTGTCAACATTTTTCTCATAAACTGTTCAAATATAATGACATTAAAACAACTTCTCTACTAGAAATCATTGAAAGACTTGTATGTGATATATAGCAGATGAAATTACACCGTGCTTTAGATTAAGTCTGTTTTTGTAATACAGTGTGATATCCTCTATTCTTGTAGTCTCCGAGCATAATGCAGGACTTCACCCATATCTGTGTTTCAGTGTAATAACTTTATTTTCATTTTACTGTTTTGATTTGGGAATTACTGCCAGTGAAAATAAATCTATAGTTTCAATTTGTTGTGTTATGTTTATATGTTTAACTCACTGTTAAAATGTGACTGATAATTGGTTAAATTAAAATAAAAAAAGAATAATAAAGATATTAAATACTTGCATTAAACCTATAGTGTTTTATATAGAAGTCTATGAGGCGATACAGTATTTTTAAAATCAAAATCAGGCTAGAGAGGGCGGGACAAATAATAGAGGTGTAACTCAGAATAGTTAGTCTTATATTTACCTTTAAAAAAACGAATAAAAAAACCTCTTTGGAGAGTGACTCTAGTCTCATCCAGTCGAAACCAAATCCGGAGTACCTCCTACCCAACTAAAGCTAGAACTCCAAGACTAAAACATCTTTCAAGGAAGTGGAGAAATATTTCTGTAATGAGTGCTGTGATCCACTAGAGGGTGTTCAAAGACAGCAAGCGTTCTTTTATGTTCTCACTTCCTGGTCTGTAAACCACCAGTCATACATTTGGTATAGATATATAAATACTTGCATTAAACCTATATAGTGTTTTATATAAAAAGTCTAAGACATCAACTTGAGGACAAAATGTTCACTTGCTGCCTAATATATCCCACCCACTGACAGGTGCTATGATACCCAGGTAATCAGTGTTATTCACTTCACCTGTCAGTGCTCATAATGTAATGGCTGATCGGTGTATATGTCTATGGTCCTGACTCTTCTGAGTGACTGAAATGCGCAAATCAAAACCCTTCAATGACCATGACATAGACAGGTGAAGTCCTGTATTATGCTCGGCGACTACAAGAATAAAGGATGTCACAGGGAAACAAGAACTACTTATTGAGCAGCACAGGATATTAAGCCCTGAAGTAAATACAAAATCAACTATTTTAATCATGTCTTAAATAGTTTTACTTTAAACAACACATGAGTCTCCCTAGAGACCGTCAAAAATTGCCGTCGCCGACTATATTTCAAGTCGTCTAGGCGGGGTATTGGGTAAAGTTTTCAACCAGCAATAATCACGCCTCGGATAAACCTCATAGGCTACGATACTGCCACTGCGCAAAGCTGAAGAGTAAGAGGTACGGAGGGGGTGTCACTAAGGCCTACAGCCCCCTCTGTTAGGGTCTTAACATGCATACAGTAGAATGACAGTAAAATATACGGATATGACTTTAATTGTTTAGTTAAAAGGTGTAAGTTAAATGACAGAGTTAAACTGTTACTGTCTATCTATATTACCACTGTTGTTTATGTAGGTTTAAATGTTGATTACGGATGTGACTTTGTTTACATCAACATGCCTCTGATTGTATCTGGGTAGGAGGATGAGACTAGAGTCACTCTCCAAAGAGGTTTTTTTATTCGTTTTTTTAAAGGTAAATATAAGACTAACTATTCTGAGTTACACCTCTATATTTGTCCCGCCCTCTCTAGCCTGATTTTGATTTAAAAAATACTGTATCACCTCATAGACTTCTATATAAAACACTATAGGTTTAATGCAAGTATTTAATGTCTTTATTATTCCTTTTTTTTTTTACTTTAACCAATTATCAGTCACATTTTAACAGTGAGTTAAACATATAAACATAACACAACAAATTGAAACTATAGATTTACTTTCACTGGCAGAAATTCCCAAATCAAAACAGTAAAATGAAAAAAAAGTTATTACACTGAAACACAGATATGGGTGAAGTCCTGCATTATGCTCGGAGACTACAAGAATAGAGAATATCACACTGTATTACAAAAACAGACTTAATCTAAAGCACGGTGTAATATCTTCTGTTAGATTATTCTCTAAAATTATACAGAAATCTCTAACATTGAAGTCATTGGATAATATTTTACTTCAACAGTTTATGAGTCTCCTTAGAGACCGTCAAAAATTGCCGTCGCCGACTATATTTCAAGTCGTCTAGGCGGGGTATTGGGTAAAGTTTTCAACTAGCAATAATCGCGCCTCGGATAAACCTCATAGGCTACGATACTGCCACTGCGCAAAGCTGAAGACTGACTGGAAACGCCATGGTGGTGTCTCCGGGACACACACCTCTCTGTTAGGGTTTCATTCATGGGCGTGGTTTCAAATGTACGAGTTTCATATGGATCGTTATTATTGTGTAGAAAGGTCAAACATAACATCTCCGAAGAGGAGCCATGTGTACTTTATAAAGCTGTATTTAAAAATGGGAGCAGTTCATATGTAGAAGACAGGATAGACAAAAAGGAAATGCTAAAGAGTCCCGAAGTGTAACCGAGTAACCAAACGGCCGTTATGTAACATATTATGATGAATGAATTATGTAGTAACTTAGTGTAGTTAACTAGTAACGACTAAAGTCACAAACAACGAACAATATAACATAAAAACTCACCTACAACGTTAAATAAATACACAACAAGTGAGATAAGTTCTACACGGACGTGACGTACCCGGTGTACGTCTTTATTTATGGGTCCCTGAACACAACCACACTGGGCACGATAATAAGTTCTGACCACAGACATATAAAATAAATGTATACACCGATCAGCCATAACATTACAACCACCTGGGCTTCTCTGGTCGTCTAGCCATCACAATGTGGGCTTTGTCAAAGTCAATACATTTTTAATCAAAATCAGGCTAGAGAGGGCGGGACAAATATAGAGGTGCAGCTCAGAATAGTTAGTCTTATATTTACCTTTACAAAAACAAATAAAAAAACCTCTTTGGAGAGTGACTCTAGTCTCATCCTCTTACCCAAATACAATCAGAGGCATGTTGATGTAAACAAAGTCACATCCGTAATCAACATTTAAACCTACATAAACAACAGTAGTAATATAGATAGACAGTAACAGTTTAACTCTGTCATTTAACTTACACCTTTTAACTAAACAATTAAAGTCATATCCGTATATTTTACTGTCATTCTACTGTATGCATGTTAAGACCCTAACAGAGGGGGCTGTAGGCCTTAGTGACACCCCCTCCGTACCTCTTACTCTTCAGCTTTGCGCAGTGGCAGTATCGTAGCCTATGAGGTTTATCCGAGGCGTGATTATTGCTGGTTGAAAACTTTACCCAATACCCCGCCTAGACGACTTGAAATATAGTCGGCGACGGCAATTTTTGACGGTCTCTAAGGAGACTCATGTGTTGTTTAACATAAATACGGATTCTATTAACGTACCAAGATGAAAATATGGTGGAAGTACAACGTGATTAAGATATAATTTTCCTCCTACAGTGTGTCTCTATTCTTGTAATTCTTGATCGTAATGCAGGACTTCATCCATGTTTATATTTCAGTGTAATAACTGGTCATTTAAGTGTTTTGATTTCAGTCCACTGAAAGTAAATCTGTAGTTTCAATATGTTCTGTTATGTTTATATGTTTAACTCACTGTTAAAATGAGACTGATAATTGGTTAAGGTAAAACATGGCATACTCAGAAGAGTCAGGACCATATATATACATATATATATATATATTTATTATTATGTCTGTGGTCAGAACTTATTATCGTGCCCAGTGTGGTTGTGTTCAGGGACCCATAAATAAAGACGTACACCGGGTACGTCACGTCCGTGTAGAACTTATCTCACTTGTTGTGTATTTATTTAACGTTGTAGGTGAGTTTTTATGTTATATTGTTCGTTGTTTGTGACTTTAGTCGTTACTAGTTAACTACACTAAGTTACTATATAATTCATTCATCATAATATGTTACATAACGGCCGTTTGGTTACTCGGTTACACTTCGGGACTCTTTAGCATTTCCTTTTTGTCTATCCTGTCTTCTACATATGAACTGCTCCCATTTTTAAATACAGCTTTATAAAGTACACATGGCTCCTCTTCGGAGATGTTATGTTTGACCTTTCTACACAATAATAACGATCCATATGAAACTCGTACATTTGAAACCACGCCCATGAATGAAACCCTAACAGAGAGGTGTGTGTCCCGGAGACACCACCATGGCGTTTCCAGTCAGTCTTCAGCTTTGCGCAGTGGCAGTATCGTAGCCTATGAGGTTTATCCGAGGCGCGATTATTGCTAGTTGAAAACTTTACCCAATACCCCGCCTAGACGACTTGAAATATAGTCGGCGACGGCAATTTTTGACGGTCTCTAAGGAGACTCATAAACTGTTGAAGTAAAATATTATCCAATGACTTCAATGTTAGAGATTTCTGTATAATTTTAGAGAATAATCTAACAGAAGATATTACACCGTGCTTTAGATTAAGTCTGTTTTTGTAATACAGTGTGATATCGTCTATTCTTGTAGTCTCCGAGCATAATGCAGGACTTCACCCATATCTGTGTTTCAGTGTAATAACTTTTTTTTCATTTTACTGTTTTGATTTGGGAATTTCTGCCAGTGAAAGTAAATCTATAGTTTCAATTTGTTGTGTTATGTTTATATGTTTAACTCACTGTTAAAATGCGACTGATAATTGGTTAAATAAAAAAAATTAAAAAAAATAATAAAGACATTAAATACTTGCATTAAACCTATAGTGTTTTATATAGAAGTCTATGAGGTGATACAGTATTTTTTAAATCAAAATCAGGCTAGAGAGGGCGGGACAAATATAGAGGTGTAACTCAGAATAGTTAGTCTTATATTTACCTTTAAAAAAACAAATAAAAAACCTCTTTGGAGAGTGACTCTAGTCTCATCCTCCTACCCAGATACAATCAGAGGCATGTTGATGTAAACAAAGTCACATCCGTAATCAACATTTAAACCCACATAAACAACAGTGGTAATATAGATAGACAGTAACAGTTTAACTCTGTCATTTAACTTACACCTTTTAACTAAACAATCACAATTAAAGTCATATCCGTATATTTTACTGTCATTCTACTGTATGCATGTTAAGACCCTAACAGAGGGGGCTGTAGGCCTTAGTGACACCCCCTCCGTACCTCTTACTCTTCAGCTTTGCGCAGTGGCAGTATCGTAGCCTATGAGGTTTATCCGAGGCGTGATTATTGCTGGTTGAAAACTTTACCCAATACCCCGCCTAGACGACTTGAAATATAGTCGGCGACGGCAATTTTTGACAGTCTCTAAGGAGACTCACATTATGTCTAAATAAAATACAATATGCTCTAAGTAGTGTAGAGTAAGGGGTGAATGTAAACCTTGAGATTTAATGGAGGACCTTAAGACGCTCCTAATTTCCTAGAGTAACATACCACTTTATGTTCTATATACCTTACACTTGTAGTTTACTGTAAATTTTTTATGTTATAGAAACTATTAGCCTTTAAAATGTGTAGTATGCAGTAGACTTGAAGCTTTTCTATTTTTTGTCAATTCAATTTTTAACGTATTTGTGGTGATCATTCACCATGCTTTGTTAGTAGTACCTCAGCTCTCCATAGGGGGACATTTATTTTCATTCTGTATAGTTTGACTGGTGTCTGCAGTCCCTGTAACATTATTTTCCTTTTGTAAAAGACTCAGACCACTAAGGCCATAATATCAGTAGGCGTAATGCAACACTAATGTAAGATAGTTAAAGGAACCATTCCTCACACTACTGTATACTATACACTAGATAATATAATGCATACTTACATTACCCTTTTTACTTGAAGGTATAAACCTTTAAATACAGAACTTGCACCTTTAATGTGGTATTAAACCTTTTTCTGTACTCACTCATATTTTGCTTTACCTGTATGTATTTTTAGTCACTGCTATTGACTTGAAATCAATAACCTTAAATAGATATTATATTTGTCACAGTGCAGTGTACTCTCCAGAACAGCAGAGGGCACTCTGGAACAAAATATGGGATGGTGAATGTGAGGAGAAAATAAACTGTAGAGGAACATACACTTGTTTCTGCTTAAAATCATTAAACACAAGTTAATTTGTTTACTAGCCAAATTTATAGATGATTTTAATGAATTAAAACAATCGGGTGTCGGAATCTGAAAGTTTTACTTTTCTTTTGATTATGATGATTGCTGCATCATGAAAGAGCTTAAGAGTTCACTGTGATTGAGACGCTCTTTCTAAAGTGAAAGTAACATTTGTGCAGTCATGTTTTACCACCCTGTAGAGAACTGTAATTGCAGTGATTTCTGATTAGACGTGGGGTGGGTTTTTTTAGGCAGTCACAGGGGTGGAGGGGTAATCAAGTCTTCTCATTAGGCAGATGAGCTCAAAGCCTCTTGTCACCCTGTAAACACTCTCCAACACCCTTGCTGTCATACAAGCACACTTCCTCACACTCTTCTAACTTGTAACTGACAGTTTTTTCCCAACCTAATCAAAATTGTAGCTCTCACTTCCAAAATAGTAGATATTTAACTTTAGGAAATTGTATCAGCCAGGAGTACGATTCAAGTTTTTTTTCCTCCATTTTTATCTATTGCAGTTAATGAAGTATTTTCTAATATTGTATTGCAGTGCAACCTGTTTAATTATTCTAACCCAATAAGGCATTTTGGTCACATTCAGTTGAATTGGGGTTACTGCTTCCAGTATTCATTAGAATTCATTGCTATCTGAGGAATTGTACCACAATCAATGTCAGTCGACTTCCAGTAAAATTTGTTTTAAGTTGTCTACACGTATATTTTCAACTGTATTTTATTATTTTGGCCTGATTCTGAGCAATCATTACTCTGGGTTCAGTTCAGTAATGTGATTATTGTGATCCAGCAGCTTGTAATATATCTTTCCCCAACCCTGGTAATCAAATTGTGGGTAATGGATCATGCTTTTAGACAAATGGAGCACTTGGTTGTCTTTATCAAAGGTGAAACTAAGGCTTTGAATGCACTTGCTTTTATTATCTGTTACACACATCCACCGTGCACTGGTCAGTCAGCACCAAATGGAGTTCCAGTGTTGATGTTGCTTGTGTGTGGTCCTTTTGACCTGCATATGACCCACTGTTTTCTATATGTAAAGATGTAATTATTAAGACAAATTATATAAGATAAGCAGGAGCAATTCGTCCTTTACAGCACATTTGACATCTCTCAAACTCTGACCTTTTCGAAATGTTACTGACGGTTTTTAAATCTGTCAGAAATTAAATGGCAAGATGAGGCATTGTTCTATGTAAGCGACAGCTGGAGACATAAACAAATAAATTGCACAGCATCACAGAACTAGTTCCTAGGTAACCATGTGACAGTGCCGACAATTGCTATGGAAACCAGCGTATTCTCTCTCTCTCTCTCTCTCTCTCTCTCTCTCTCTCTCTCTCTCTCTCTCTCTCTCTCTCCATCTCTCTCCATCTCTCTCCGTCTCACTCCGTCTCTCAGTTCTTTCAGGAAATGTGTGAGAATATTCCCTTTCCTGTGAATTGGTTTTAGTTTCCAGCTTTGACAGTTGTGGAGGAAGACACCGTCACGTCATAGAAAGTAATTTACCCTCATACTTTGTTGAAGCTGTAGAATAAATTCAGGCAGGCTGATAAACCAAATGCTATACACCAGTGGGTAAAACATGGTTAATAATAAATTTCACTGGAAGAGCTGACAAAGCTCTCTAAAATATGAACATTACCATGCAATTAACTGCCCTGCTTTCACGCTTTTTTTGCCAACTAGTATCATATGAAAACTGTAATTAGCTTTTTAAATTCTGTTACAAATGAAGACATTTTTCAAGATCAGAATAAATAAAAACTAGTTTTAATAATTTTCCTTAGATCTTTTGTTCGTCAAGCTAATTTGCAGTCTGCTTTGCAGCAGGTCTTTTGTTTAGATTCTGTTTGTCACAAATCCAGTTACAACTCGATTTTCTAAATGGAAAACCAGGCTTCTCTTCAAAGAGTGAGACATCACAGCCTATTCTAAAAAAGCAGGTGCAAATCTGAAAGAGATGCTTTGATTTGCGGCCAATTATGGACATCCTTGTTGCATCACCTTTATGTGAGTACTCTTCCTCTTTCCCCACTGCTGATCAGAAGAATTAGCCCATTATTCTTGGTAGATAACCAGAAATGTTGAGATCACACGAATGAACAGAAACCTCATAAGTTATCAAGTTATTCAACACACCCAATTAAACTTGTTCCAATCCTCTAATGCCATCTCCCTCTTAATCACTGTGCGGTGTACAAGGGGTTGCCCCCAATTAGCTAGCTCCTGTGACACCCTGACACCCCGCCGCATCCAGATTGTTTCTCAGCTTCAATTACTTTGAAAACCCTTCAGGCAGAGGTGATTTGTCTCCTCCACTCTTTATTTTATCTGTACTTTAGTCTGTTTCCCCTTCTTTTGATTGGTACAGGGTGTCAAAGGAGAGTCCGTCATGTTTAGGAACAAAAGAGCCATAAACTCTTAACAATCGTTATGTTATGTTTTACTGTTTTGTGTGCAATGATTGGAAGTTCTGTGCAGATGAAACAGCTAAAAGTTTCCACATTATATATGTTTTAAGTTCATGCTCAGAGTTTTGCAATATTACAGTCTATCGTGTTTACCTGAGTTGTGATTATTGCAGGCTGACAACATAACCTAATAGTCTGCCATGAAAACTCTGAGAATTAGCAATATTGGATGGTCAAAGAAGAAGCTCTGAACTAGTATTTAGTTATAATCAATTATTCAAGTACAAGTACATAAATATACAAGTACATAACGATCAATCTACTAGTCAAAATGAAGAAACATCTAAATCAGTTTAACTTCTTCTCTTACTGCTGTCACTGAGGTCTGTTTAGTCTGGCATCATTCTGCCAACAGCCCTACAGCAGGATCTGGTACAGCAGTTTCTTGCTGTGGTCTCTTCCCCTAATCACTTGTGGTTACAGGCCTTTAAACTGATCATTTTACAGAAAATAAAACACTTGAATGTCTCGAATGTCTTTGGTTGACCATCATAAAAATGAACCAAAATGGTAAAACGTCTGTTAAGTTAAGTGAGGTGGTGTGATTTCACTACCAGAATCAAACAGGTTTAGTACATTCAGTGTTGTTAAGTTTTGGACCATTGTGGGGACTTTCAGACACTCTTCATGGTCCAATCCTGCTGCATATTTCTTTTTTTTCTTATTATGTAAAGCTAATCCTTCTAATTAGCTCAGCAGTGAACAATGGATATTCACACTGTATGTAATTGCAATGGGATGTCCATAACTGAACTCCTCTATTTCATGCTATTTCATAAGGCCTCTACTGATGAAGGACAGTCAGAATATCAAAAGTATGAGTAGTTTATACATTTTGCAGGTTGATAGAGTTTGAGATAGGGATGTCCTGAGCCGATCCTGAGCTTTCAGCAGATCCTGGCATATTTTACTGGCTCAGTATAACCTAAAAGCCAAACAAAATCTGATCATTTTACTGATCCCACTGTGTTTTGTCAACATCAGTCTGCTAGTGTTGCAGCACTGCTCTCCTTAATGATAGCCAGGCTCTACACTACAAGCAGTTTGCTCTGTATGTGAGTGAAAATCACTGTGTGTGAATGTGGATAATTATTTGGGCGATTCTGTTCTGACATCTGTTATGGCAAAATATAGAGTTTTGCTAAAGTCCAATGGCAATTCATATGTTTCTCTCTTTTTTAGCAAAGTGCAGTGTAGAAAACATTCAAGTAGCAACTCATTTTTAGCCAGCTCTGAATGCTGCCTTCACAGGTTAAAATGACAAGCGTTGGTGGCAGATGGTCATATCAGCTGTTGATAATGAATGTTAATTCTGTGAGTACCTTGATGACAGGCCGAAGTTAAATTAATCTCTTCTTGGGTTCACGTGCTTTCTGCAAGCATGACTGACACAAACACTGGTGAGGGGTTTTGTAGTTCCAGCAACTCCTCTAGAGTGATACATGCAAGTCATTTTTCATATTAATTACTTAAACTTGAGGAAAATAAGATTTAGAATTTAGAAGGCTACATATGTGCCTTAAATGTATCATGTTTAATCAACATTTAGGCAACATTAGGTTAGGTAAATATAGGTATGGGATCAGACTTGTACAGCTAGCACAATATTAAAGGACTCAAAATTAAAGAGCCAAAAACATTACTAATTTGACATTGAAAGTCAGTTTATATTAGTGAGCTTGGATGCTCGTATACATGTATCAGTGTATTGTTTGACAGAAAAGGGAACCCCGGCTCCTTCAGACCATTAGAAGCAGAGCCCTGGTAGCCTCCAGTGGCCCGCGGCTCTTAGAAATAGCTTTTTAAAAGGTACCAGTCTCGCCTGTTTCCTCAGGATCCAGGTGCTTTTAATTGGATTTCTTTGACAAGATTATTGCCTGCTCTCGGGCCAAGTGTGCCTGTATAGTCACTTTTCTTAAGTAAACTTAATACTTAACTTTAATACCACAGTTTTTGAAAAATTTGAGCCCACCGCCATTTTGTACATTCACCTTCACTAAGGGATAAATTAAAACCCTCAATGTATAGACAGTATAAAAGCATCTATTCCCTGGAATCCAGCCCCCTCAAATGTATTGTGACCTTCTTCAAAGAAACTGACTTAAGGAAGAGCTTGTACTGAACTGGCAGTGAGTTATATCAACCAGCCTTGTAATCCCTTAGAAAATGGCTCTTTCAAAAATCCTATTATAATGGTGTAGCAGGCCCAACCCAGGTCAAAGCAATTAGTCAGAGAAAAGCGAGCAACATTTCTCTGTCTAATGGGCATATTAATTGATAAAGACAAAGAGTAAGATCGTATCATGCCAATTTGAATGTCTTATTGTTTAGGATAATTGTGCTAGGCTACCCGGTGCCCATCAAAGACCAGAGTATTTCACAAGGACAGTTAATACGTAGGTCATTGTTTATACTTGCACAATAACATTATTTTCAAATGAATGCAGTATAGTTTAAAAAATTCGGTATTTAATGAATTTTGAAATGGCAGACTAACAAGGCAAGTCGGTGCTCCAATTTATAAGAGAATATAGAG